GAATTAATTATTATTTAAATAATGTGATTATTTAAATTTGAATTTGAACACATTTAGGTTTATCCATTTAAACTTATTTGATAAGTTGTTCAATTTAGAATTCAAATTAATTTTAAGTTTGACTTAAATTGGAATTTGAATTTGAGTCAAAATTGGACTACAAGATAAATGATGATTTTCTCTTTCTTCCCTAGCTGATATTGGCGCCTACATAGGGATGAGAATCCCCTAAGGTGGCCGGCCATAATGGATAGAGGAAAAGAGGATATTTTGTTCCAAATTCAAATAGGAGATAATTAACAAGCTTTATCTTGGAGATAGAGAATGGATTCCTTCTAGAAGTTTGACTTCTACTCTATAAATATGATAATGATAGAAAATTGTGCGAGACAATTTCTGAAACAATTTTTTGACCTAATAAAGTATTATGGCCGAAATTCTCTTAGAGCAAGGGAAGAAAAAAGTTTTCTCCAAAAATTTCACATCGTGCATGCGTTGGTGTTTGTGAAAATTTGAGTGTTTATTGTAACCCGTTTTGTCTCATGTGTGCCCACACACACGTCTTCATGGATTCTAGGAATTGACGTGGAAGACATTAGTTTTCTAAACACAAAGCTTTGGAGCTAGGATTGTTCGAGGTCAGAGAACTCAAGTTATCATCCTAATTGGCCGCCGGGTATTTTTCCTAATTGAGTTCTTAATAAATGAATTAATGAGATTAATTTATTCGTGCATAAATTAATATAATCTATAGAGTATCTCAAAGGTTTTATGAACATTTTTGTTATACACGATCCGCCTCCCCCCACGCTTCCGCATCCGAATTTGATTCAGAGACCAACACTCTGAGTCACTGATACAAAATGCAATTGGAAATATTGAGCCATTTGCGTCATGGCCACATGCTGCAAGCAATGTTCCACCAAACCTAGCCTTTAAGGCTGAAGCATCAACAATAATTACAGGACGACAATGAGGCCAACCCTGCTTCAATGCAACTAAGCACATGTAGAAGTATTTTAATCGATCCTCTGCGTATGTCTTAATGTGAATGTCTGGTCCATGATTTTTCTTCATCACCATTTCACCCCATGAAGGTAGGACTGCCAATTAAACATATTGCATGTTAAACTCATAGGCATAGTCAAATTACAGTGTATATTTCAGAAATTTAGTTACCTTGGTATGATTCTGCATCGTCACCACAAAGGTTGTGTAAGGCTGCTTCCTTTCCCCTCCAAGCTCTGAGATAATTGAATGACACTTCAAATTCACCCTGCATGTCCCTCATAACCTCACTAGGTTGATATGAAGTGCTTGTCAGATCCACAAATTTTACTTTCACACATTCCCCGATCATCCAACTACTGGCTTGGCGATGGTGACCTTGAATAATTTCAATAGAACAAGTGTGTATTTCATCCAACTGTTTGACAATAAACAACTCACTATCATTCATTCTAGTAGTGCGAACCTGCCATTGACATTTATCGTCAACACATACCACATGCAACAAAGTAGTGCTCGACCTCTTCGCCTTAAATTGATAGTGTTTGTTCATGGCATCATGATGGAGATGGTACTGTAACAACCTTTTCTTGTTATAAATGTTCTTCACACGCATAGATCTTGGTGAATAATCAGCAATGACTTCTCCGCCAGAAAAATCATCTGAAAATTATACACGATCAGATCGGACTTTGGATCCATCGACAACAGATTGGGCTCCACCACTCCCTCCGCTACTTATTCCCTTATTTCTGTCACTACCATCTAGATCAAAAGAATTAGGTTCTTCACAATGTTGGTGGTCACAATCGATTCAATCATATTCCACCGATAATGGTACTAGAGGAATGGGGAATTCAACTTCATCGTCCAATCCATATACCTTTTCAAAATCCGCGCCGATATTGCCGACACTAATATTTTGCTCGGCTTCATCACTATGACATGAAACGGATGTTGGTTTCACCGGAATGTGGTTGCTTTCTCCTATCTCAGGTGGCAACGCTTCGGCCACTGACTCATCCACTATATCGACACATATTGAAAATTTATTGAGCGAGTGAACATCCATCTTCTTCAATTGCAGGTAGAATGTGGCATCATAGTCAGATGATATCTTCACAGGAGCTTCCCCATGTTCAACAGCATAACTTAGGGATAAACTTTTTCCTTGTGGCCGAATTCTAAGCACATTTCTCACCAAATCTGTCACGCCCCCCAAACGGGGTGGGTGACGTGGAACTCGATTTGGGATTAATAAAGCAGATTCCCAACCGGGTCCCACACTTAACTGCATAAAAATCTAAATAAACGACATAATCCAGGAGCCTCTGACACACAGGGCTCCACCCCACAGGACATACAGTATCATACATACATGCACATGTAAATAATCAATTACAATAGACATCATCCACAGTCTAGTAAATCTAATATTAAATAGGTTTACATAATTTCTCAAATTCCTTACATTTGTTCAAGAGGATAAACTCAATCCTCATTTGATCCAAGAGTAGCAACTCCAGCTACCCTGCACCGCTCCTCGAGTCTCCTGGGAGGAGTTTAACATTTAAAATATAAAACGTGAGCGAAAGGGCCAGTAGGATATAATTCGAAATATTTAAAATAAATGAGCGCATGAATAAATGATTGAGTACATAAATAAAATAAGACATTCAGTCCCGACAGAACAGCCGGAACCTCACATCCTTTTTCTCAAAGGAAATATAACTGAAAATAACCATATCACAGGCTTCAGCAAGTAATTAGTACAAATTACTTACCTAACCAAGTGCCTCGCCTACCCGGACCAGTTTCGGGTCCTGCCCCCGAGGATGCACTCTCCGCATCCTATCTAGGCTTACAGCAATATACTCTATTACCAGTTCACAAGATCTCTTTGCTTAAGAAATCATTTATTAAACATTTTGAAATCGTTAATACGACCCCACGAACTACTCAAGCCGC